AGGTGGCTCAACTGGTAAAGAACCCACTTGCAATGTGGGAGACCTAAGTTTGATCCCTTGGCTGGGAAGATCCCCTGGAGAAGGGAATGGCTACCCACTCTAGTAGTCTGGCCTGGAGAATTCTATGGACTGTATAGTCCATGGGGTCGCAAAGAGTTGGACACAACTGAGTGACTTTCACTTTCACTTTCTTCACTAGCTGAGCCACCAGGGAAGCCCAGAAATTAATGGGAATTTACACCTCCAATAACCCAACTTCTGTATTCTCGCTCACATTTCCCATGTCAAAATATAAATATTATGATATTTAAATCAGGATAAGGATATATCCTCAAATCCCCTCAATGATTTAGGACTGAAATGGGATCTGGACACAATTTTTAATATGAACACTCTTCCTCAAACTGGTTTCTACTCAACAGAACAATCAGAAAAATTCAGCTCCCACTACTGTGTTGAGGAACACATATCAGCAAGTTTCATATCCTAAGATAAAGGAGACTATGGCACTGCTACAAATTTTGCTTTCTGTACTTTTCACCGAAAAGCAAAAAAAAAAAAAAAAAAACAACTCCCCAAACCTTTCACATAAGGACAAATGATCAATACATAATAAATACATCTACTTTACAAAGAACAAAAAGACAGGGGCAACCATTCCAGAACATAGTAGAATATTTATGGACAAGTCACTAAATAGCACAGGATGCTTCAGCAATCCTGAATAGAGAGACCGCCCAGTCCCCTAAGAGTGCAACACGAAAAGCACACTGTCGCTTTCCCATATGGCTCACTACCACTTCCAAATCCCTGCGGAAAGTCATTTTGTTGCAGAAGGTCTAAGCAGCATTTCTACCTACCTACCCTCAAAAATATTCAGCTAATTCAAAATCCAAAATGGCCCCAAAGCTCTGAATACCTATCTACACAGATACCAGAAACACGACATACATCTGTGGAGTTTCAATCGACAGATAAATTTGCTACGATTTGAGGCAATGCTTTCTTGATAGAGATGAACATCTTTCTTCGTGTTATTTCTTATTTAAAGTGCAACTGAGCAGTGCCTTCATAAAATAAAGCCTATAACTCTAAACATCTGAATATTATAAAATCTAATTTGGTGCTTGCCAGACAAAACATGGGGAGAGAGAAAGGGAAAGTTTTAGTGCTTTAAGTCAAAAAGACTAGTGTGGTTAAACGTTCTACACGATCAGTCCCAAGTTATCAACAGGACCCATCAATATCTATTACAATGAGGACAGGTCTCCGAGGACCAAAAATTTCCTACAGCTGTTCCACTGGCCCAATCAGATATTTTTAAATCTTCATAATAAACATGGCTGGAAAAACCTAACTATCAAACACTTAAGATAAATAAGTTTAAATTATATCCTGCAATGAATGCCAGTCTGATATTCTTTTGTAGTTATATACTTTGGCTCTGTAATAAAAGAAATTCTGGTTATCATTATTCTATAAGCTACTCCATCTGTTCCCTATACACATACCAGGATTTCACGGCAAAAGAGATCAAGAAACACCACCAAGATCAGAAATATTGGTAACAGCTTTTTAAACATTCATGAGGTTCTGTGACCTATAAATTCTTTTCCAGCTAAGGACAGCCATATTCAGAATAAATCATTGCCTGTAAGAGATACACATGCTCTCATAAAAGTTCCCTAGGTGACCATTAGCATGGCCACCTGGCCTGATGTAGTGCTGCCTTTGAAGAAATCCAATCACTTCAGCGGAAGAAATATAAATATGGTAATCTTTCAGGGGGTAGGAAAGGAAGGCAAGAGGGGCTTTTATTGTTGCCTTTCAATCTCTGGGCTGTGTGTCTGCTCTGCTGATGCCTCTTTCATATGAAGGAGGCTTTTAGCAAGTTTCCCTTTTTTCTTAGTAAGTTCAAAAAAGATGAAAGCCAAGTCAGTAAGGGAAACTGCCCTCTTTGCTAAGGTTAAATCAGTAGAATGCCTATGTCATACCTCTATACAAGAGAAACAGCAGGGGCTAGGAATCAGTGACTGGCATGTTTAGTCCTAGTGGTGTAGCTAAGTACCTGTAGGACTTTAGCCAAAATATTTAACATTTTTAAACCTCAATTCCCAACTGTCACAGAAGATGTTGGGATGAGGTCATTTATGATAGTTCAAGCCACGTCTGTGCACAAATATGTTATTATTCTCTTCATCCAGAGGATCATTCCTGTTTCTCTTGGAGATTTAAAAAATGAACCAGGAGAGAAGTCCCTTTTCCTTTAGCACTCTGAGGTATTAGGAGCCATATATACTGGAGAGAATAGGCCAATAGGAAGAGAGAAATCACGATGGGAGACAGAGCCAAAACGGTCTTCCTGTATCATTCACCTCTTCCAAGTCACATGGGCTGAGAAACCTCTACTCAAACTTAAGTCAGTGTGAGCTGGCCTCCATAACCAACAACCAAAAGGACCCAGTGTCCTTCCATAAGACTGTATCAGCTCTGCTGACAACTAATCATCACACCTCCTCTTGTCAGGTGAGTTCAGATAGAAGCAAGTGAGCTTGCACTGTGTAGCAACTGTGCCTCTCCTGCACCAAGACCACAGTTCCAGGATTTTAAGCATCCAGAGCATCAGAAGTGAAAGCCTCAGAGTGAAGCCGCCGGGAAACAACAGTATTCATCACTGCAGTCCATAAGCCTAGGCAATCCCAACCATCTAAGCCTATGATTTTTCTTCCTGAATCCATTAGAATCACATGAGAAGCTTTTTTTTTTTTTAAAACAACAACAACAACAAAAAAAGTCCAAGTCCCTGTCTCTACCCCAATTATAACTTAACTGGTCTGGGTTGAATTCAAGCCATGGACACAGTGTAAAATCTTCTCAAGTGGTTCACATAAACAGCCAAGTTTTGACCATTATGATCCAAGCCTTTACAGCTACATCAAAAACATATCTTGATCGTAACTCTTAACAGTATCATTCTACGGAGTAAATCCTTCAGTGGCACTCCACTACATTCTGGATAATTCCAGGCTTTTTCATAAAGGGTTGACAAGCCCTTCCCTTTCGCTGCTTTCCTTAACTCCATCAAGTTAAGTAAGGATGCTTACTTAATGCATCAAGACCCAGCACTGCACCTCTTCTAGATGACCTCTGGTAACTGCAAGCCTGCTCCCTCCCTTCCAGGCGGAGCGCTGACTGCACTGCATCAGTATCTCTGAAACGGACTCCTACCTCTGCCAGGAAGGAGCAACTGGGGCTGGACGAGATCTTCTACCAAATCAAGTAGAAGAAGGGAGAAAACACATGAGATGGATGTTTTCGGGCATTGTATAATTGGCACTTCAAGATTCTGAATCTTGAGAGAAGGGAAATAAAGGAAATGAGCCTGAAGGCACTCTCTAGACTGTGGTCTGGGGAGCAGGGAGGGACACAGCCAGATGCAGCAGGCTCCCTGAGTAGAGGTGGAATTTGCAGGGCGGAATACAGCAAAGGAGAAAATGATGTGTACAGAAAAACCTCCAGAAATCTTCCTGGGGTCAACTGGAGATTTTGTTGAACATTAACTATCATTATGTTATTCTGTACTACTTGACTCCATGGTTCACCATTCTATTTTCTACACCCAGATTAGTCCTATTCGCTTCTACTGTTTTGCCTTTCCAAATGCATGGCACCTACAATCAAGTTCCGGTTACAAACTCTGAGACAAGGACTATAGCTGCTTCTCTCTCTCCCACAGTGGCCAGGCTGACAAACATGCACAGCATGACCACTCTCAGAGTGCTGCTGGGGAAACCAGACTGAGTATCAGAAAACTGTATGGGAAAATAAAGCAGAAGCACCAATATGGATCTAATTATATAATTCTTTGTACTTGTATTTAAGCCAGGGGTCAAAAAGCTACAAGTCGGAGTACAAATACAGCCCACTGCCTGTTTTTATAAATAAGGTTTTATTGGAACACAACTAAGGGCATCTGCTTATGAATAGTGTATGGCTGGCTTCCCAGGTGGCACTAGTGGTGAAGAACCCACTTGCCAATGCAAGAGATGCAAAGAATCGGGTTCGATCCCTGGGTTGGGAAGATACCCTGGAGGAGGAAATGGCAACCCACTCCAGTATTCTTTCCTGGAAAATCCCATGGACAGAGGAGACTGGTATGCTAGAGGCCATGGGGTCACAAAGAATAGGACATGACTGAGTGACTGAACGGTGTATGGTTGTCGTCACACTATGACGACAGGTTGCCTAGTTGAGACAAAAACTATATATGGTCAACAAAGCCTTTAGACCCTCAAACAGTAGCTACTTGGCCCTTTACAGGAAAGGTTGCTGACTCCATATTTAAACTGCAATGGTTCTCAACAGGCAGGACTATAAAGCCACCCACTGCCTCTGTAGCTTAGGTTCTTTGACGCTTGTCTGCTGGTACTGATCCAGGATATTACAGTGCAGCCTCGTCAGGCTGGAATGTAAGGGTTTTAGCTTAAAACAGGCCATATGCTTCAACAGGAAGTCCTTTCTACCTATTTACAAAGACCTCTAGAAAAAAATACCTTCTCCTCTTTAACTATTAGAGGAATGCCTATCTTAGCTTCTTACAGTAAGTGTGATTCTTCCTGAATATGCAGGTGGAGTAGACCATGGAGAACTGTATATATGAAAGTATCTTCTAACACTTAGCCAGTGAATGGTCTCTTAACCTGAGTATCAAGGGGCCTGTTTCTCATATAAATCTTAACATGTCTGAGAAACCTCAAACCAATCATTTAATATTTTCTTGCTAGAGTTCCCTCCTTCCCTAACAATGCATCCAAATATGCTCCCTGGACAGCCCCCCCGCCCCCATCTAGGTTCCAGGGACATTAGAGGCACAAGGACCTAATATCTGGTGTAGTCTCCAGAAGCATAAACTCATATTACCTTACGGGAGCTCTGTAGTAACAAACAGTATAATTTTTAAAAACAAGTTTAACTGTATTAAATGAAATAAAGTTACTTACCTGAACTATTAAAGTAGTACTGCTGTCCTGGGTAATCAATATTAGAGGGGAAAATGCCTAAATATGAAGAAAAAAAAAAAATTTTAATTGTAGCCATAGACTCTGCCCTAACCCCTATTGCCAGTTTTACTGAGGTATGATTAACAAATTAAAATTGTACATGTTTAGGTTGGTAGTGATTTTTTTTTAAAGGTATACAATGGGATGATTTAATACATATATATTATGAAATGATAACCACAATTAAGTTAATTAACACATCTATCACTTTATATACTTGCTATTGTGTGTGTATACATATGAGAAAATGTAAGATCTATTCTCTTAGTAAATTTCAAGTATTATTTCAAGTATAGTAAAGTGCTATTTACTATAGTCACAATGCTGAACATTACATCCCCAGAACTTACTCATCTTATAACTGAAAGCTTCTACCCTTTGACCAACATCTCTGTATTTATCCCACCTGCCACCCCCTGGAAACCACTGTTCTACTCTCTGGTTCTGTGAGTTCAGCGTTTTTAGATTTCACATGTAAGTGACAACATACTTAATTATCTGGCTTATTTCACTTAGCACAATGTCCTCCTGGTTCACCCACTTTGTCAAAAACAGGACTAGTTTCCTTTCTATGACTGGTAATACTCCATTATACATGCACACATATCACATTTTCTTCACCCATTCATCACGCATTTGGGATGTTTCCCTATATTGGCTATAGTGAACAAATGCTGTCAGGAACCTGGATCATACGGTAGTGTTGTTTTTTATTTTTTGAGGACTCCCCATGCTATTTTCCATAGCGGCTGCACCAATATACATTCTCACTAACATCCTCACCAAACTTTGTTATCTCTTGTCTTTTTGATAATAGCTGTCTTAACAACTCCTGACTGCGACTGATGTTATAAAGCTACAGTAAACAAAACAGTATGTGTACGTGTGTGTGCCCAGTCACGCAGCTGTGCCCACTTAGTCATACCCAGCTTTCTGCGACCCCTTGGACTGTAGCCCGCCAGACTCCTCTGTCCATGGGATTCTGCAGGCAGGACTAGTGATGTGGGTTGCCATTTCCTTCTCTACAGGACCTTCCTGACCCAGGAATCGATCCCGTGTCTTCTTTGTCTCCTGCACTGGCAGGCAGATTCTTTACCACTGAACCACCTGGGAAGCCCACTATATACTATAAAATGATAGTAAACAAAACAGGATGGTACTGGAATGAAAATAGAATAGCCCTAAAGCTGTAACTACCACTCTTTCCAACAATTACTAGCTTCTTTGAAACAAAGCTCAAAGTCATTATAAATAATTTCTGAACAATTAAAATATATTCTTTTGCTTGGGGTTAGTCCTACAGGGAACAGAACGTGGTGGGGACAGTGAAACTCTAACTTATATTCTCTGAAGTTCCTTAAGGTTCCTGACAACATAAGATGGTCTCTGCCTTCTACGGGACCAAGCTTGGTCTTTGAGATCTCTGTACAAGTAGAGATGCTCTGGCTATAGAGAGAACATGCCGCATAACAAGGGTGTTCGTGAGCCATGTTCTTACCCCTCCTAAGGGACTTTCCTGTTTCTTACCCCTAAAAGGGCAATAGGACAGAAAATTCAGCACTGCTGAAGGAAAGGAGAGAGGGAAGAGTAACAGGCGACACCTTCAGCGTGATGCTCCTTTCCCAGGAGTTGTTAGACAGCCGCTTTCATGTATTTTCCACAGGGCTCCTGTGGCACCTCAGTTCTCAAATCACTCTAGATCTTTCTCCTGCTTTGCCGGAAAAAAAAAGGCAGAGATTGCAGGCTATTCCTGAACAGCACTGAATGTTTCAAGTTCTAGTATTCAATTTTCTACTTATTATACTGAAAATAGAATTATATAAAAATAAGTCTCCTTAGAAAACAGGCAAGGTTTCAAGGAGGAAACTAAAAGTTAAAATGTTATAATTATAGGGGAAATCCTCTTTAAAAACAAAATATTTGCCTAAATTTCAAAGTATGTCTGTAAGAAAGCTTTACTAACCACTCAATCCTCAGACACCCCCACACAAAAAGGAAACAAAATATCAGACTCCCAAGAATTATTTCTTTTCCTATATCAGCACTGAGGACATTTGGGCAACAAAACTCATAACTGGATTTCCATAATTACATTGTATCAAAAATATAATAAAACTCTACATTTTCAATACAGGAAGCTCCTGCGGCCTCCTCCAGGCACACACACCAGAAACAGTAAGATGCAAACGCAGGAAAATAAAAACATGTGTGGATGCAACACAGTCTGTAAAAATCACCCAAAAGTGAATACAACCAGCTAATAAAGGCAAGGGCACAATGTTTGGAAAGCTTTCTAATATCATGAATATTATACAGTTTGTAAGAATACCAGTCATCGGCACAAATAGTGAAAACAAATTATTTATGGTTCAAAAGAAGGTAAAATAGTCTCAGAAGATTCCCCATGAGTAAAAGATGAAATATTGGAACTCATATGGTCTATAGAACAAGTGTTGGCAAAACAGTTTCCTTATAAATCACGACTAGTATAGCATTTTCAATTAAGAGAGCCAAAAAATTCATAGGTTTCCTAAGTAAAATAAAGTATTTTCATTGAGCAGAAATTAGAAGGGAAAAATTTTTTTAATTAAAAAGCAGGAGCCATGCTTCAGGAATAACAGACTTGGTTTGGCCATGCATGAATATATGTCTTGCGTGCCAAGGACCTAGTAGTCATTCTGAATTCTTTAAAATACTGACCTTGTACTCAACACAGATTTGTCTTTCTTTTTTTAACTTTGCCTTGCACTTTGAATTCATGAAATATTACAGAAGAAAGCATATTTTAAGCCTGCTTTAGTTCTCTGAATTTCAAGGAAATAGTGGTTTTCAGTGAGTGGCAATAATGCTGTGGGTGTAAGTGTGTACCTCATTTGTCCCCTAAGAAAGCAGCAGGTTTAAAACTGGGGGTTTCAGTCTCCTTTTTGGAGCCAAGGACCAGCACCAGCTGGTTCACCTCTTAGTTTAAAAAGAGCCTATTAGGGAATTCCTAAGTTGAGTCACAGGGAAACTTGGGGTTGCCTTTATTCCCATTAAAATGAAGATGAACTTCCAACTAGTCATGCCAAGGTGTTCTGGGCTGTGTGCTCAGCTCCTCAGTCGTGTCTGACTCTTTGCAACCCCACGGACTGCAGCCCGCCAGGCTCCTCTGTCCATGGGATTTTCCAGGCAAGAACACTGGAGTGGGTTGCCACTTCCTTCTCCAGGGGACCTTGCCAACTCAGGGATCGAACTAGTGCCTTTCGTGTCTCCTGCATTGTGGCAGGTGGATTCTTTACCACTGAGCCACTGGAGAAGCCCTGTTCTGCTCCATACCTGTGCACGATTCCATGATCTTCTTCAGAGGCCCGTGAGTGTACATCAGTCCAACAAGAATTCCAGCCAGATGCCCGGCAAAGGAAGTCCTAGGAGAGAAGGAGAACCTTCATGAGTGTTTGCTCTGCTGCGGAGTACACACTGTCTTCTCAGTAGCCAGGGGCGTGTCAGTGAGTCACAGTTTGCAGACTCTAGCTCTGCATCACATCTTTCATGCTGAGCAGCATTTAACTCAGTCTCAAGGACATCACTTCCTACCCTACAAAAAAAAAAAGTACAGTGAATAACAAACATAACAGGTTTAAAAGGCAATCAATCTCCCTCCTTGACCAAGAGAAGTGAGCGGTCTCCTTCAGGACAGCAGAAGTGTTTTTGTCAAAGCAACCCATTATACGTCTTCCAGTTTTATGTCTGTAGCTCTTATCAGGAAGTATCAATGAAATGCATTTCCTCTGAATTAAATCTTGAATTAGTCACAGCCACTGTAAGGGTCCGGCGTTACCTGTGTTCACCGCAGAGCAGACAGCTACAGTTTTCCCACCCTGACTAGTGAGGCAAAGAGCAAGAGACACTTTGCAGAAGAGATTGAGATGTCCAACCCCTCCCACACCCCTCAACATAAATATGGATCTTTCAGTCGCTTAGCCCCCCAAAAAACCCAAAATGTAAACTTCAAGCTTGAAAGATGAGATAGAGCATAAATTGGTTCCACTCTTCTTAAAATAGTATCTAAGATTAGCAATTGCTTCTAAATATAAACACAAGGCAAGCCCCAGCTAAGTACATGCTGAATGAGTAAAAAGAGTAAATGGAAGATCACCCAGCCCGGCGCTCTGCCGCCCCCAGCTCCTGCTCTCAGGGCAGCCCAGGCCCCCCGTCAGGTATGTTCCCCAAACAGAGGTGAGGTCCCCAGACAGAGTGACATACATGTGTCACTGCCATCCTGTAGGGCTCCTGACTCCTCTGCTTACAGACCCTTTAGCCTGCGCTCAAGGCCCCCGCACTCACGGCCCTACCCATCTCTTCTCTCCATCCTCATCTCCTACTAAACCCACCCCCACAGCCCACTGCCATACCCCTCAAGAGCTCACTGGTGACCCCCAGGCTAGGCTGAAGAGTACCCCGTCATAACAACTCTTCACATCCCAGGTGAAGAGCTCCTCCTCCTTCAGAAGTTACCGCGGAGCCTACGTGAACGCCGAGAGCACGGTGACTTTCGTGGTTTACACAGAGGTGTCTCGCACACCTAGAATGGTGCCTGGCACAGGACAGACACCCAAGTATGTGTGGGATGCATGATTCCAGCGTCCCAGGGTGGTTTCAGCAAGAAGAGCAGGAGGCGATTTAAAGTCGCTGCACCGCAGCCTCGGAGCACTGGCTGTGCCATGGCAGGGACCGAGCCGCGCTGCTGACGCTGTCACCCTCACGAGGCATAGAATCAAATCCAATACACCTCATGGCCACGGCAGCAAAGGAGAGGGGCAAGAGGCCCTCAACGCCACAAGTGAGGCAGCCACAAGTGACTGCCACGGCCTCAGGGCCGGGGAGACTTCCTGGCTCGCAGGAAAGAAACAGACAAAGGAGCACTTCAGAGAAAAAGATGAAAGGAAGCCTTGTGTAGTCAGGACGGTCCTGCCCAACAGCCAGCTCAATCACACTACCGCCCAAACAAGGCTCTGCATGCGTCTACACACACTCAGTCACACCATGTGTGGGCGTGCATGTGTGCACGCACATACACACACACACACACATAATCATTCCTTAAGGATAGCTGTTACTTTCATCAAATATCTCTAACAGCATGTTTGACCTGATAAGAAAAACATGGGCTCAGACAGTCAGTTTCCCATTTTCAGGGAAGAACAATATTAACTGTACTTTCCTTTAGCTTTTCCAAAAAAAAAAAACAAACCCCAAACCGTACTTATTTTATTCTATTTTTAGGCAAATAAACTCTCCAACTAGTTCGAGGAATGGCAAAGAAAGTGGTGGTTTGAGAGAAGCAAAGAAGAGGCCAGAATCAAACTTTTAAAAACAGTAACTTCAATTTAACTTAAAAGAATAAAATACATTGATATCTTTGAAACTATTTAAGCCAATCTTTACGGTAAATTATATAGCTGTAACATGACATGGGAGAAAATGTCAATTTTAAGTCCCAACCTATTAAACAATCAAGTTTAAACCTAATTTATAAATTACAGCATAATATAGTTAATATAGTAAAAAAAAAAAAAAAAGACATGTATATTTTTTATTAAGCTTCCCTGGTGTCTCAGCAGTAAAGAATCTCCCTGCCAATGCAGGAGACTTGGGTTCTATCCCTGGGTCGGGAAGACCCCCTGGAGGAATAAATGGCAATCCACTCCAGTACTGTTGCCTGGAGAATTCTACGGACAGAGAAGCCTGGCGGGCTACTCCGTGGGGTCGCAGAAAGTCAGACACAACTAAGCGACCAAACAACAACATAGTTAAATGAATTTTTTCTCTCTCTAAATGTGTTTGTAGAAGTCTGAGTTATAATCACATTACAAATAACGAAGGAAGGGAGCCTGGAAGACCTGATACTATATTTCATTATTTGCCTAAATTCAGCATTTTCCACTGAAGTCCCATCTCAACACTCTTACTGCCCTTATCATTTCATTTAAGTTATATAGAAATGTTTTTCTTATAAAAAACAAGAAGAGCTTATGATCTTATTCAATCCAAACTGAGAACCTCTCAGGCCTTCCCTGGTGGTCCAGTGGTTGAGACCCCGCGTTTCCAATGCAGCGGGTGAAGGCTTGATTCCTGGTCGGGAAACTAAGATCCCACCTGCTGCACGGCATAGCTAACACAAACAAACAACCCCTGAGAAAGTCCCAACATTACAGACAGAAAAGGGAAGGATGCCATCCATGACAAGGAATCACATGCTTGTCTCGAGAGGTGAGTTAACCTGCTCCATGCTGTAGGTAACCATTTCACAAACCACTGCCCTTCGCCGTCTAAGAGATACCCAAGTCATGAGAGAGGAAACAGCTCTGCAGACAGGAAACAGAAGTGGAGCTGGGAGCTACCTCCTCCCCGGTAGGATGGGGCTGCCCAGTCCTAGGATTAGGACACTTTATCCCGGCCCCTGGGGGTGCTGGGAAGGAGGCAGGGATAAAGCAGGCCAGGGGCTTTGAGGGAAGAAGACACACCTGGGCTCTCTGATCAGTGGCTGGGAATGTCAAATGTCACAGCTTCAGAAACAGACCGTGTTACTATGATCATAATGACACATGCTAGACAGATGTTTCAACATTTTTGACATCCGAGGCTCCCCGAGCTCCATGGCAGCCCTCCTGGAAGGCGCGCCCTCCTCTGCTCTTCCTTATACTTGCGGGCTGACACCCCAAGTGGCAGGCTGGGGAAACCCTGCTTTTAGGAGCAGCCTGAGAAGGTCTCAGGCTGGGATGATGATTTGGTGGTGACCTGCTCTCCTCTATCCTAATCTACGGTAATTCCTCAGGGACAGAACCACTGTCCTCAACTCTGCATCCACGACCACACCCAGTGCAGCATCGGAAGCATTGATAAGTGGCCTGACTCTAGTTCTTAGTAAACAACTCCTGAAGGAGTAGAGAAGTAGAATTAAAATTAACACACAAAATGCACACATCTGACCTACATTACAACTACATTCTAACAGCATAAGGAACACCGGTCACCAGTGAATAGCTGCTTTAGTATCAAGTTTCACTGGGAGAGACAATGACTGAACACACACTTCCCCCCCCCCGTGCTCACTCCTGCACACTTGGACAACATATTACACAAACCATGTGTCCACTGAACAAAACAACAGCACTGAGTCTATTATCATAGTCTAAAATTGATCACTAGGAAGCTTGGCTTCTTCTGATAGCTCAAGAGGGACTCTTTAGAAAATCCTAACAGCTACCGTCAAACACTGACTGTGATGGTAAGATGTGGTCACAAGAGCCAGATGCACCACTGCCGTGTGTGGCCACACAGGTTATGCGCTGTGTGAACTACAGACAGAAGGCAAATCACCTGTCCAGGGTCTCAATGGTTCTGCAAAGTACTGACAGATCCGATACTCAAATCCAGATGCTCCGATCCCACTGTCAGAGCAAGTTAAGTGCTGATGTATTTTCTTCTTAATAGGGGGACAATACAATAATCCAGTAGTCCTTTAACTTGTCCAGGTTCTAAATCCCTTTAAAAGTCTGATAAATGCCATGAATCCTGTCTGCGGAAAGACTCCACATTCACAAGGTATGTCATTTATCATTTTAAGAACTTCATACATGCTTTGAACCCTATCCATGGACCTCTGATTAAAAATCCTTCCCTGAAAACAATTCCTCACAAACAGAAGAATTTCAAATACCGGCACTAAGTCTAAGCAGTTACATATTCAATTGGAAAAACATTTTGTTTGTATTCAAATCCTAACACAGAGGCAGCCATTTCCTTAGATCACTTAAGTTTATGAACATGTCCAACTTCTTCGTTGGCCCACTGCTCTCTCATGGTGGAACCTACATCTGGGATCAATTTCTTTCTCTCTAAAATCCAACTTTTAGCAATTCTTTCAGTTCAAGTCTGAGAGTAAAAAACTCTGCCAGTCTTTGTATGTTTGAGAAGGTCCTATTTCTGAATTTACTACGGCTGCTAAGAAATGCTCTGACCATCAGACAGTCATCCTTCTACAGGTGATCTGGCCCTCCTCTCAGCCTTTAAGATTCCCTCTTTGTGTTAGATTTACTGTCATTATGGGTCATTCCAGTTGTAGAGGAGTTGAATTCCCTCCTTGAGCTTTGCTGTTGTTTTTTCAACCTAAGGTCTCATGTCTTTCTGTAGTTACGAAAAATCATCATTGTTTTTCATCCTGTGGACCTCCAGCTATGCAGCACTTGTGTATTGAGCACAGAGTGGGAGCTCAATACGTGTTTATAGAAAAAAAAAACTAAAAAAAAAAATATGAAAAGCAAATATCAAATCAATGTTGCTACATATAAGGAATAGTGATGGTGGAAAGGTAATTCGGGAGCAAAGCTAAGATACTATTATGGATCATAGGTTAATTACCTCT